CCAAAAAAACCCAAATAAAAACAAAAAAGAACCCAACCCAAATTAAAAAATAGGAAAAAGCATAAAGTAGAAAATTAAAGATCAACTGCTTTACTCAAAGGTAGCTGATGTGAACAATTCACCTCTCAAAGAACATGGCTGGAGAACTAAAGATACTTGCAAAGTGACTGCTTTTCATAATGTCCATCAGATTTCATAGACAATAAGCTGCCTGTGGGGAGTTAAAATGCTGAACAAGTCTGGTAATACAACAAAAATGCCCAGTGCTGCTTCAGCAGAGCAAAGTGTGGGAGAATCTATTTCACTTGCAACAGTAAAACTTTCCAAGCAGCTGAAATGGAGTGAGCAGACAGCAGAAGGCACAGCTGAGACAACACAAAATCCAGGCATCCAGGACTGTTTAAGATTCATGTGACTCAATGCTGGTAGCAGGAAATAGAGAGAGAACAAAGCAAGGCCATCATACACATAATTCTCTCATTTACGGGAGATTACTGTGTTCCATCAGTCAAATAGGAATTATTGCTGGCTGGGTTGGAGACTCATAGTTGCTAATGCATTGGATGAATCTTGGCAAGTAAAACTGTTGGRCTTTCAAATGGGAAAAGTCCTTAATTTCTGAAAAAAAACTCCTCTGTTCTACTTCCTTTTGTTTTTCTTTTGGCTAAAAATGATGGCAACGTCATTACCTCACAGAACACGGCCCCTAGCAGGAGTTCTGTATATATTCCATTTTTCTGTGAAAAACACCCACAAACTTCATTTACAAAAAGCACAAAAGCATCCTACTGAAGAGATACAAAAGCATACAATGCTCTTGGGCAGGTAATTATCCATTCTCTACCCACTGTTGMAGAGCTCTCTTGTGAGGAATATTGGGAGAAGTCGATGCAAGAATCAGTGTCCCTGTAAACAGCCTGGCAATGCTGAAAAACCCCACAAAACATCTTAGTGTTTAGCCACTTCTTCAACTGTACTTAATCCTAATATTCTAACCTCAGTTTGCCCCTYATTCTGACACATGGCATCCCCAAGTCTCTCTCCCAGCAGAGAGGTGAGTTCAAGAAAGGCACTGTAACAGATTTACACAAAAAGCAGCAATTCCAAACTGGCAAAAAGAAGGATCTTACTTGTCATCATTCTCAAATCTTGCATTATTCCCACCCCTGGAAAAAAAATTCCAAAAGCTTGGTGCTTTCAGAGGCTGCAAAAATCAGAGAAGTGATTCTTCCCCAGGCTTACAGAGAATAAAGCAGAAGACAGCTGAACTTTTCATCTGCGTTTTAGAGCAGATTTGATGTCAAAAGTCAGGGGAAATTTTTTACATATATATTTATAGATATAAAAATAAATTTAAGATATAACAAATTTTATCTCCTGTAGCACCCATTTCTGCAAAGTTTATTACATAAACCAGACRTTTTAACAGACAGAAATTTAGTTAAAGCCGTATCTTTTCCTCAGCTCTGACTGCAAATCTTATTCGAGCTTTGCTCAACCGACTGTAAACTGTTTGCTAAACTAGATTTGAATGTCTAAATTTACTGTTCTAAATATGTTGTCAAATCACTAATATCCTCTTGCAAGTCATCTTAACTTCCAACATAGTAATTTTCTCTGTAATGACTCTTCATTTAAGACTATATGTTTACAATTTTCTACCATTTAGGTGATTTAAGTATATCATCTATTCAATGTCCTGGTCTTGGCAGCAACGAATCATTTCCTTGCCAGATGGAATACAGAAAAAAACCCCCCGAAATATAACATTTTCCCAAAACATAAATAGCTGGCAGCTATCCCCTCAGAAAGAAAAGTCCTTCTTAACCTAAAAGCAACCAGCATGTCACGTTCTCTGTAAAAAAAGGTCAAGAATTTAGCAATGCCCTTAACTGATGCCCTGTAGCAGTGACCAGGGCAGCTATGAGGATAACACAACAACCATTTAGATGGCTCCATTCATTATTAGGCATTTCTCTTTTTTCTTCCCCTCCCTCTCTCCCCTCTTTCAGTGGCAGAATAATCCAGGTGCTCACAAAACTGCCTCCTGGTCCTTCCTGAAATTTACCTCCCCAATGTCAAATCGAATCAGATGTGACGTGCACACCGTGGATGGGTTCTGCTCACAAAAACCAAACCAGCAATGTTTAGGGATCGCTGCTTGCTGTCTGAAATAGAAATTAAACTACGGGGATGTAAAGGAAAGGGATGGTTACATTTATACTGATAAAATCACTTGCAATTTTGTTACATCAGTCAAAGTAAATGCAACTGAATTCACAGCAACACTGATGTGTGTGTGGACGTGATAGTGATTATAAATAGATGTATGGGGAGGTGAAAAAATKTAAGAGTGATTCTTGAAGGAATCCCACTTTAGAAAAATGCATCCCAAAGTGAGAATAACTGCAAGTATAAGCTAAAGTGAATTAATGCAAAAAACTGTCAAAATACCTTTAACTAGGCTGTTCACAAGGTCTACAATAAAAAAGAAGTACCATAAATTTTGGATAACATACTGTGATTGCAAGTATTGAAGAAAATAACTCTGGGTAATAAAGGCTCAAAAGCATTAATAATGATTCCTCTAATTAGATGAAACAGCTTTGAGTAAAAAATAGACACCATTTCACTTTATTGCATCTCATAAAAGACAGTAAAACTTATTTGCTATTCATGCTTAATGAAAAGGAGGAAAGGTTTCACCCAACAAAATGAAGCAGTACCAACACAATTTCAGCTCAAGAAAAAGAAACAAATAAAACCCTCAAAACCTTAGACAAAGTATATTTCATGAAAGACTTCAAGTTTTTGAAAAACAAATGAACAACGACATGAAAGCCCCAGAGAACAAAACTTTCTTTTACTTGATTCTTCTATGGATAATTTTTGGTGAGCTCAGTTTGTCAAGCTTTTAAAAAACAGAAATTAATACGGATGGTTAAGCAGTCAGAATGAAAATGCCACAAGTAGCAATAAAAAGTTTGCATTATTGAAGACATTAAACCTGCTATTTATTTCTAATTTATTTGAGAAGATAATAATAAAGATTATGATTTCAGAATCTTAAACTGAAAACTACACCAAAACTGCTGTTATGCTTGCTCTGACTCCGTCACTACAAATGTGTGYTATGTAGTTGGTTTACATTTCACTTTGAACTACAACTGCATTTCAAGGAACCAAGAATCTGTTGCTTCACTGAACAATCACAAAAACTCCAGCTTTGCTCCCAGCCATAGCCAGAGCCTGAGCTGCTCCCACAGAAAACAAAAYTGGCCACAAATTGGTAAATACAACACCCAGCTCTGCAGCATTTCCTCCTGTTAACCCAGACAATGCTTTCCTGCTATTTTATTACCTACCCACACTGCATTGGCAGACACCTTCTGCAGCTACATTTTAAAATCAATTTCTAAGCAATTACTTTTCCTATAAATATCATTAAACAGACAGTTCCCCCAGTTTTTGGAACTTCTCAAGAGTGAAGCCCTTCTGTTGATTTCTCCAGCCACCCCTCTCCATCCAGTCATACACAATAACAACAGCAGGCTGAAAAACATTTCAAGTCATATCTCATCCCAGTGAAAATCAGAAAGCTGATTCATCTGGGTAGCATACAAACCAATCTAATATTCAGTCAAAATTATTTTTAAAATGTATCCGTTAAACTATCAATTCAGCCATCATATACATTTTCCATTTTTTCCTCTAATCCCCATTTTGTATTTTCTATTTCAATTCCTTTGAAGAAGCAGTTCTAAACCAGGCTTTTAATCCAGAATGAGTATTTCAAATAATATTTACAGTCTTATCTGTTCTTAATACAAGTCTCTGAACTGTACTAAAAATGGCAGTTTATCTCCAAAATTTGTATTAAAAAAAAAAGAAAAAAATATCCAGCCTTAGAATGCTTAATTTTTTTTTTTTATATCATCAGTTATATAGAATACAGCAATACAAAGAACACAAAAAGAAAAAAAAAAAGCAAGGAATGGTTTTTATTTTTAGCTTTTTAATCATGGTTTTAAATGAAGAGACAGAGGAGTTAGAAATGGTTCCCACTGACCTGAGCCCATAAAGGACTGTTCCATCTGGATGCAAACGAATCATTCTGTTCTTCACAGTGACACCATGAACAAATGACTTCTTGTCATTCAGGAAATAGGTATCGGGCACCCAGAGCTGATCAGCGACTCTGTTGTCCAGAGTAAGGTTTAGAGGTATTACATTGTAGGACAGCCTCTTATCCCTCCATGCTTGCTGGAAGTACATTGTCAAGGTATAGTCCTGTGAGTAGAAAAACAAACAAAGTTTGCATCGAAACAGATGGCAAACACAGGCAAAAAAATGACAATGCAAATACAAATGTATTCATTGTGACTGTTCCCAAAGGCAAATGTTTGTGTTCAGAATTTCCATAAGTAGATTTATTTCTTTTTACAGTACTGAGCATCTTGTATACACTTGWTAACAGCAGTGAGAGCACGGAGAAGATGGGGTATTTACATTTTATGAATGACTTGGAAGTTCTCATTTCAATACTTAAAAATCAAATTTAAAGAATTGTAGAGATTTAACAGCCTGTAATTTCTSTAGCACTTCACAAGCCTGGGAGTTCCACAAAACAAACATTCACAGATCCAAATTTTATCTCAAGGTCTCCACTGTATTCAGTAGAGCTCTGGACCAAGACTTTTCTCTCTGCAGTCACCACCCAATTTCTCTAAATTAAAATCTCTTCAAAGTCTGTTAACTTTCCCCTGGGCACCAAAACCAATGGGAAGTCTCAGAGGTTCTTATGCTACACACTCTTAGTCTTCTGCTTAATTTTACAGATGAAGTAACTCTGGTTACTTCAGGGGGACAATTGAGAGAGCACAATTAGCATCAGTAAATATTCACACTGTTACAAAGCTTGCATTGTCCTGATGCACGCCACCACTCTACAGCACTTCAGAGATGTTTTGGTCTTTCAGTGTTTTAAAGAATGAGATATTTACAAAGGTTATACCTCTGTAAAAACTTTTATAGAGGCATAATAATCATTATATTTAGCCTATGCTAAGTATACACAGTATATATTGAGAGCAGCCCTGRGGAGAAAGACTTGCCTAAATGGCAGTATTAGTACTCATTAGGAGTTTTATATTTTAAAGGAGAGTCCAGTATTGAAAGTACTTTTATTACAGTTGGAAAAGAAAAATTAATCTTCCTCTTGAACGGCTTTAAAAAGACATGCCACAAGTGTATAGTACAAGCATTTTCATTTTAAAGGGTATTTGACACATGAACACTCTGCAGAACTTCTCAGAAAACACAAAAGTAAATTTTTCTTATCCAGCAGTTTCACAGACTGAACAGCCCAGTAAGGAATYACTGGAATTGTGTTGCTGTCATTATTCACTTTAAAATGCACCCAGTCCACCCTTGCAAACACACGGGGAGGGTCTGTGAGCACCAGGGCTTTTCCAGTAGAGTTCTGTACACAATGACACAGCACCTTGAAACAAACTGACCCTGCCCTCTTCTGCAGAGCAGTGTGCACTCACATCAATCAGTATCAACTGTGTTTTTATAGAAAAGTACATTTCAGAGCTTGAAACACTATCAATTTTCACCACATCCTTCCCCAGAAGAGCCCATGTACATGGGCTTCAAAATACCCCTTCCATTTTCACTGAGGCAGGGGGAATTACCTGTCCCATTGTGAACAGTTACTGCATTTCTTTCTTACCTCACAGCCACAAATGGCATTGCTGTCCCTCCAGTGCTGCTGCCTGCCCTGGTTAAAGGCCAGTGCCCTTCCCTGCTGTGTCCCCAGACAAACCCAGAACCCTGTCTTATGGCCAGCTGTCACAACAGACACTCAAGCAGGTAACACCAAATGAGCTCTCCCCATTATTGCACTACCAAATGTATTCATCTGGTAGCTGTTCTACAGCCTGATCAGTTTTAATTATCTGAAATTTCTTCCCCACTTTCCCAGGATCAGGATGAGATCCTGCCTGCAAGGATGTTCCACCTAYATCCAAAGAATTTTACTGTTATTGTTCATCCCTGTTTTGTTGGATTTAATTACAACCAGGCATCAGAAACTCTTCAGTAACACACTGTCAGTAGGAAATTYATGAGTCTTCGTTATACTAATATACCACATCATAAAGTAATGTGATCTGCAGCAATTATTTCTCTATTATCCTTGGGATGCTGCATTTTATTCCTATTCCAAGGAATAACCTATATGTATTAATATACAGCTATATACAGAGAACATACTTTCCTCTTTGCACCTMAGTAAAAGAGGAAAAGAAGAGGAGGAAAAGCCCAAAACATGCATGGTTCAATGCATAGAAGGGAATTACATAAAACTGTAAATTTGGAGCACTGGCATAGCTGAAAGAAAAGCCAAGTCACCAGGCTGGAGTTCAAAATCAAACACACTGTGTTCCAGAAAGAGCTGGTGTTCCAACTAAAAATTATTTGTCATCTGTTGGCCCTAGTTTTCAGATGTGACTGGAGTTTCTGATGGTCAAAACAGAACTCCTTAGAAATTTTTATAAAACCCTCACAACCTTTCAAATTCAGGGTTTTATTTTTATTGATAATTTAAAAAAAAAACACCCAAAGATGTTCCAAGATACATATTTYAAAGTAAAATTGATAAGATAGGAAAAAAAAAAACAACTGTCACATAAGCTGCAATTCATGCCTTAGAAAGGAGAGAGAGAGGCATCTGTTTTCAAAATCCCAAATGAAAGAGTAATTCAAAAAAGATGTGCAGGTACAAAATGTCCCTAAAGTATTCCAAGACCCATTTATACTTTGAGATTAAGAACATTCTCATCTAACAGAAGTACTACAAGAAAAAATTTGTTAAACTCACATTAAATATAAGTATTCCCCTCTATTCTAAGGATAAATATCAAAACTTGTAAATAACCTGTCCCTAGGAAGAGAGGCACACAACASAAGCAGAGAACAGAAGCAAAGGATGATTTTGATTTGTTAAGCCTTTTCAAGTCACAGGATGAGATTGTTAGAAACAGTGTAAGTTTGAAGAGGAAACAGGAGCAAACTCATTTCAAAAGCCTTGCAGGAGGCAGTAATTACAATGAGCTGAAGGAAATCCAGAGCCAGACACCATTGCACAGACAGAAACCACAAAGGKACAGACAGTTTGTGACACAGGGACACAGACACACTATGCCCACAGAAATAACAGGTTTATCAGGTGCTCCGGGCTCTGGAAGCTTGAAATGGTGTATAAAATTGTATTAGTATTGAGAAAGTTGCAAGGAAAACCTAGAATATAAATAAGCAAACATTTTCTGTAAATACACAAATACTACCAATTTCGTAGCTTTCACTGTTACTCCATTGTTTACCTAGATTTAAATTTAAAAAAGTTTTTGATTCTGTCCAGGGCAAAAATTTAAGCAACAGAAAATGGATCATTATCCCTATTCTAATGTGATCAAAGAAAAGATGTCTCCTCTTTTCCTCACTTCACCTTCCCACTTTTCTTTATTTCATACAATGAACAGAAGAGCAGCAAATGTAAGACAAAGTTAATCTCTATGCATAATTTTCCATATGAATAAAAAAGTATCAAACAGTTTTATTAGTATTAGCATATTTATGAGTAATTTTTATCCTGCACATTAASTCTGTGCAGTGGTAGCCTGCAAACACTTTTAGCTGCTGGAAGTAAATATGCTGAGAGATTCAAATTTATATAAATAGAATTGTTACAGACAGACCCAGTGTCAGTGAAGGAGCATCAATTTCAGTGACATAATGGAAGATTGTGGACAGCAAAGCATCAAATCTAACCATTGGCATTCTTATTTATAKTCTCACATTTCATTCATGCTCTCAAATAGATATTATCTTAAGCCAAAAAAAGAGAAAAAACTGTTTTGGCCCATTATTAGTTTTAAAAGATTAGAACATAGGTTTTAGCTAAATCCATGGGCCAATAACTGACATGTTTATTGCTGGTCCTCTTCTTATATTGGAAAAAGGATCAAGGCAAAAAAGGAAACAGAGATTATGAATATTCACAATGACAGTGGGAGTCTAATGCAAAAGACTCKACCAGATGTAAATTTTTTTAAAGCATGATAATAAGGTTCAATGTGAGAAAACACATTTAAAATATAGCTCTTTCTTCTGCATTACACAAAACAGGACTGATTCACACTGCATGCAGCTTAAAACTGCAGCCAGCACTTGTATTAACAGGGATACAACAGCTATGGAAACACTGGAAGCAATGAAGGCAGGAAACTTTAGAGGAGAAAAAATAAGCAGAATGAATATATAATATTTAATGTATATAACAGACATTCTGTATATTGTAAATACAGGATAAGACAGTGTGAAGTCGAAGAAGATATTTATCATGGTTCAGCAATAATGAATGGAGAAATCACTTGTGATTTGGCTTAAGTCCACTCCTCATCACATTCCTGATTATTACTAACTTGCAAAAATACTTCACAACATCTCCACATATGGCTATTTTAAAATGAAATAATTTCCTTCTGAAAATGCTTGAAGCTGAAGATTTTGCCTGAACACTCTATCTATTCAACATGTATGTTTTAAAAGCTGTTTGTTGATAACATTTGAAAGTGCTGATTGACAATCCTTTCAATCCTCYCTTTATTTAAAACCAACCACTACAAAAGGTTAAAATCAAAATTACCTATCTCAGTCTCTCATCAAGAAAAAATAATGYAGGAAGGCTGTTTAACACTGGAGACACAACAAAGTAACTTATATGAAGAAAGAACTGTTGAAAGAATGGGTGATATCAAAAAAAAAGCCAAAATAAAATGACATATGCCCTTTCAAAAAAAGTATTTTTCACACTCTGTAAATCTTTACTCCAAAATAAATGAATAAAAAACAAAACAAAACAAATAAAAAACCCGMAATGACATCAAGAACCTTACACAGAATTCAAGTTGAACTCTCCCAATCTATCAAGTCTCCTAACTGGCTTTAAATCTGTGAAACATTTGTTATTAACTGAGGCTCCTAAAACTTATTAGGGAATTCTTCTTGATGGGAACTACATCTCCTCCAGTTTATAATCTTTCCAAAAGGAAGATCCCCACAACAAGCTTCCCATCTATTTTGCTGCAACTCTCCCAGAATTATTCATCAGCAATTCTCATTTGTCAGCTGAACAAAGCAGGAAGGAYGGGCTGTTTATCTCCCACCACAGTTCTCAGAAAAACACATTATTGAGTCAAGCAAGAGACTTGGGTAGGGAAGCC